TATTTTTCAAGAGAATATGTTTTTATTTGCCATTTACTTCCATTTGTACATGAAACTAGGTCCCAATAAGTTTTTTTCTTTCGTGACTCCCAAAAGCTGTTCGCGACAACATCAGTTGAGAAATCAAAAGCAATTACATCCGAGAAATTCGCTTGTAGCCTTCTACGCGCAGAAGGAAAATCCAAGTAATGAAGCTTTCTAAGACCTCTGTAAACTAGAGACATTACGTGACGCCGAGGGGTCAAATATTTACACTAAATATGTGACCCTCAAACAGATTACGTACTCGTACCTGTAACGTTCGAAAAATGTCACGCATGTGTAACACCGTAGGCGCACCTGGCGAATTATATCCACTGGCTTCAGTAGTAAAGAGACAACTTATTTACTATTTGCATATGAGCAAGCTTATTTACCCTACTTGTAAAACTCCTTGATGAAGTCTACTATTGTCAGATGAAATGCGTGAGAGATAAATACAAGTTTTTACTTCCTCAATTCGTGCAGTGAGTTCAACAGAAAAATTAAGCTCACCCTGTCATAATCAATGATTTGATACCGTAAGTACCAATTTAGGTACATCATTGGGCTTTGATCACAATAATGGAAAAATGTGCGTTTCCCCACGCTCGCCACATTTATTCTTTGGAAAATTATTTTACTGGAGGGCGATGTCACTTAGCTTGGTGCGTCTTGACTCTGGCCGACGAAAATTATCGAGGTGAACCCCATGAAATTCTTGTCAAATGTTTTATAAACTTTGTCTACCCTTGATTTGCACGCAATAAAAGGCAAATTCCGAACTATATTTCAAAATATTTTATTCACTGGTCAATTTATGACCTGTTTTATAATATTTCATTTTTCCCAGTAAATTTAAGAGAGGGTCAATTTTTTGTGACAGCCAAAGATAGACATCTCTGAAAAGTCTCTGAAACTCTTAAAGAATTTACACTGCCGGTAATATTTTCCTCCTTCTCGCAACAGCGCAACAGACATTGTCAATCCTTTGTGGTGTAGGTGTATCAGTTGTATTACGTCTTCATGGTGATGCCGTATAAGAAATCGAGTGTCTAAAAAGCTCTCAATTCTCGCGCTGGGGCAAAGCTCACACCTCTAAACTCGTGGGTGTACAGCATAAAAAAAAAAAAAACAAAACATTTGAGAGACGTCAATGTATCCCAAACATGCGTTTCGTCCGAGAAGAAGCTTATTCTAGCGCGCATTGGCTTATTTGGAGATTACGAAGGCCGCGATTTCACGATATGCCTCAAATATCGTGCACAACTTGGTATGATATTCAGACCTTCGGGTTTGTAAATGCCAGTATCCTCGTCATAAAAATCGGACACGTAAAGTTGAGAGAGAGGTGAATCTGAAGATGGCATAAGAAATCAAAGCTGGTGGCGAGTCTTCCTGGTGGCAAGGTGACTGTAAACCTAATAGAACGCGTACTGTAACTGCTATCTTAGAGTCAGCAATGAATAAGGAAAAAGGGCAAGAAGAGCGCTTATCTGAACATCAGTTTTCCTAACTAATGATTTGCGACTGAAATGAACTTTATATCATATGATTGCTAGGGATACGCAGGTACTGTAAAGACGCTCACATAAATAGAGGTGGGCGACCCTCCCTCTGACTTTAGAACTGCGACAAGTTTATAGCGCAGACCAACTGTCACAGTTTGGAGCACCTCAGGGTCTCACTAGGCTCATCGCATTAGAAACCTTCAGCAAACTAATCGTAGAAGTGGGTGGTTATCAGCAACGGATCCCTGAACGCGGGTCATCGCGAGAACTATATCCAATCCGTCACAGACAGAACAAGAAAGCGAGATATTCTTGCTAAGAGGAAGGATGTATCAAGACGTTTCAGTGATTGGCTGCCATCCAAAAGCACCCTAACAAAGGCAAACACAGTGAAGCTGACAAAAAAATCCGCCTATGAAAATATCAAGAGAAAATGGACGAAGACCGGCTTGCCATTTTAAAGGGGGTGGTTACGTTCAAGGTTGGACCTCAGGTTAATTTCTGACGAAACATCCCTAACTAGATAAATGGACTTTGTATGGGCTCTTTGGAAAACACAAAAACCAGCCACCTTTTCTCAGAAAGCAAATAATTATTTCCTTGACATGAGCTGGACAGGGGAGGAAGCTAGTAAGGCAACCGCCTCTAACAAGGCAGAAGATAAGGAGTGACCTTGCAAATTTAGACGAAGACTGCAGGAGAGGGTACAGCTGCTATCAAGCTAAAAAAATGATAAAGATCTTTGCATCTTACTTTTCAAAGTTGTCAAATATTTGGATGAATCGAAAAGTCTAAAAACTCAGTCGTTTATTTGCCTCTGTTGATTGACAAGCCGTCAATCAAATTGACTGATACTTGAGGTGGACATTAACTAAGGATCAAGAAAAACCCCCGGAAAAAACCAAAACAGAAACCAGTTTGTATTTTTTAGTTTTGGGGTAGATCCTTTAACCTGGCAAAGTTTCGTTGAAATCGGTGAGATTGAATGTAGCACGACTGCCCGGTGCTACATGCCATTTTTCTCGGATTTCTTCGACAATTTTTACCAACAGAATTCCAACCTACATTTGATTTGAAAATGTATCTAAACAGGTGGACTACACAAACATACTGTTTTACAGTGACAGTGGTCAAAAGCAACCGAGCAAAACACCGAGGTTCATGCACAATTAAGCAAGTATTTTCATGCGACAATTACATGTTTCGAATATTTTAAGTGTGCGAAGATTTTATTTAGCTCACGCTCACGTATTTACAACAACATTTATAGTTAAATGTAATTTACTCCAAAGTTATGCCAGTGGGATAGATTGTAAATTAAAGAACAATATATGCGACGGGTCAATTTCAGCTAAAAACACGTCGACAGAGCTGGTATCTTTGTAAACAGCGATTTGTTTATTTAGCATTTATATTAAATTTATGGTCGTCTGAAATATAGCAAAATTCAGCGTACAAACGGAATAGAAAATATAGGGTACTTTACGCGGGTGGTTACAAACGAAAGAAAGTTGAGTTGGAGATGAAATATAGTTGCAAAGCTACTCCAAGGGATGAAAAACAACCTATGAAAAAATGAATTCAAGATAATTTTTCATTGTCTTGTGCGAGCGTTGTGAAAATGCACTGAAAGCCCAATAGAAATTATGCAATTTAGGTACGTTTTGGCCGATTTCGAACTTTCATATTTTTTTCCAAAATAAAAACTCGCATATTATATATAAAAACTCGCATATTATATATTATTTTTGATTTTTGAAAACGCTTCACCAAAAGGTTCTTTTTGAGCAAATAAAAAAAAAGTTGAATTTTTGCTTCTGTCGCCGGATTCTCGAAAATTACTGACAACCTCTCTCAAGTCCTATTACATTACTTTCAGCTCTAATTCTCCCTGCACCCCATTTCCAGGACCACCCGTAAAATGGAAGAATTTTCTCCTCCAGTCATTTTCTCAATCATTTATTTTGAAGGCTAATGTTTGTATCTTGCGATAAGTCTTTAAATAAGGGAATAACAGAAGAGCGGGGTGGTTGAAGATCCCGTTGTTCTAATTATCCAGTGTTCTTAGTCAGCCTTCAGAAAAAAATTTTACTCACTGATGTCTATGAATTTCGTTTTTCAGGAAAAATGCTGTGGATATTTCGTTATTTTCTTGTCTATCTTTCGTTCACCAACCTTGTAACCGCTGAGGATCAATGCAGGATAGAAATTAACATTCGTGGCATGGCTCTCAAAGGTTTCGTTTTCAAGAGAATGACAGTAGCAGCTCCTCATATCTGTGATTTCTTATGTGAAAAGGAAATTACCTGCCAGAGCTACAATTTCAACAGAAAAGAACAGATCTGTGAATTGAACAACCGCACAAAGGACGCAAGACCCGAGAATTTCCGCTCGGATCCAGCGTGGTTTTATATTCGTCGTTTGAACGGAAGAGGTAACTATTCAGCCAATAATGTTGGATAATAATTATCAATATTTTGGTTATACGCTCGACTTTGCTTACAGTCCTTGTTTTCTGATCTCCCACGCTCATCGGTATTGATTTTTCTATCATTTCTCAATTCTAATAATGAACGATATTAGTTCTTTCCCTTTTCCTTGTAGTTGCTTTGTAGTTTCCCACCAAAAGCGTAGCTCCAAGTTCTGCCGATAGATACACAACCCACAATTCCTCCATTCCCTCTGACGAAGGGCTAACGGTCTAAACATCTGTTTTGAAACTCTGAACAGTGGCCAACTTAATAATTATAATTGATGATAATTATCAATATTTTGGTCATACGCTCGACTTTGCTTATAGTCCGCGTTTTCTGATCTCTCACGCTCATCGGTATTGATTTTTCTATCATTTCTCAATTCTAATAATTAACGATATTAGTTATATCCTTTTTCATTGTAGTTGCTTTGTAGTTTCCCACCAAAAGCGTAGCTCTAATTAGTGCCGATAGACACACAACCCACAATTCCTCCATTCCCTCTGACGAAGGGCTAGCGCTCGAAACATTTGTTTTGAAACTCTGAACAGTGGTCAACTTACGTCATCAAGTCAGTTGATAGCACCAAATTACCTTATACTCTCCCACCGAGGCAGCACCCCAGTTTCTTTAGAAACTTACCCCCTTTATTCAGTTTAACTTTTAGTTAACTTCTTCACAGAACAGCTTTGATGCATGTGCGAAATAGTGATAACAAATTATTTCTTTCTTTCTTCTTTAAAATGATACAAAAAGCTTAAGGTCTGGGAAGAAGATAAAAAAAAGCTGGGGGGTCTAAAGGAAAGGTTTAAAAGTGAGGGAGTCCCACTTCCCAAAAGAAGGGTGCTTGACAGAGCGTTTAATTTAACACATTCGAAGGCGGAATTTGAGTGAATGGAATTAGATCCTCATTCTAATTCACTTGTGCTTTTCACTCTCAGCTTTCGATTTGCGCACCTACATATACTTTATTTTCAACATTTTTACCTACATACCAGCTCCCTTGGGTTCGATTCCGGAGTTACCAGCACGTTCATGCCGGGAAATAACAGCAAGCGAAGGAAAAAATACTGCAAGCAACAATTACTGGCTGGATCCATCTGGCACAGGAAAGGCAGTTTTGGTTTACTGTGATATGAATTTGGAAGGTAAATCATCATTACGTCACCGTTAGTTTCACTTTCTGTTTGAATTGTAGATTCTTTTAATAGCTTCTCTCTGTCTGCGACAACTAAGAAGTGTTTTGCGACAGCTAAGAAAGGTTTTGCGACAACTAACAAGTGTTTTTCGAAACCAACAAATGTTTTGCGAAACTAACAAGTGTTTTGCGAAACTAACAAGTGTTTTGCGACAACTAAGAAATGTTTTGCAACAACTAAAGAGTTTGGCGACAATTTGAATCTTCTTCTGCATGTTATGCAAGACTATTTTTCTGCTAAATTAATGTGTGGGTTCCTATAACTGTGCGAAAACTAAGAACTAAGAAGTGTTTTGCGACAACTTAGACATGTTTTGCGACAACTAAGAAGTGTTTTGTGACAACTAAGAAATGTTTTGCGACAACTAAGAAGCGTTTTGTGACAACTAAGAAGTGTTTTGTGACAACTAAGAAGTGTTTTGTGACAACTAAGAGGTGTTTTGCGACAACTAAGAAGTGTTTTGTGACAACTAAGAAGTGTTTCGCGACAACTAAGAAGTGTTTTGTGACAACTAAGAAATGTTTTGTGACAACTAAGAAGTGTTTTGTGACAACTAAGAAATTTTTTGCGAAAACTAAGAAGTGTTTTGCGACAAAGAAGAAGTGTTTTGCGAAAACTAAGAAGTGTTATGGGATACATTACTGCATCGACTTTTGTGTTCCTCAATTTTGATGAACTGTGGGAGATGAATCGTACTTTATTCGAATGTGGTTTACGAAAATCAGTAGAGTTGAAGGAAGGCAGACTGTACGTCATTACATCGACATTGGAAAAGACAGTTAAATGCTGAAGTGTTTTGTGACAACTAAGAAGTGTTTTGTGACAACTAAAAAGTGTTTTGTGACAACTAAGAAGTGTTTTGTGACAACTAAGAAGTGTTTTGTGACAACTAAAAAGTGTTTAGTTAGTTGTCACAAAACACTTCTTAGTTGTCACAAAACACTTTTTAGTTGTCACAAAACACTTCTTAGTTGTGACAACTAAGAATTTTTTTGCGAAAACTAAGAAGTGTTTTGCGACAAAGAAGAAGTGTTTTGTGAAAACTAAGAAGTGTTATGGGATACATTACTGCATTGACTTTTGTGTTCCTCAATTTTGATGAATTGTGGGAGATGAATCGTACTTTATTCGAATGTGGTTTACGAAATTCAGTAGAGTTGAAGGATGGCAGACTGTACGACATTACATCGACATTGGAAAAGACAGTTAAACTGAGCAGCGCCACAGTTAAATGCTGAAGTGTTTTGTGACAACTAAGAAGTGTTTTGCGAGAACTTAGAGGTGTTTTGCGACAACTAAGAAGTGTTTTGTGACAACTAACAAGTGTTTTGCGAGAACTAAGAAGAGTTTTGCGAGAACTTAGAGGTGTTTTGCTACAACTAAGAAGTGTTTTGCGATAACTAAGAAATGTTTTGTGACAACTAAGAAATGTTTTGTGACAACTAAGAAGTGTTTTACGACAACTTAGAAGTGTTTTGCGACATCTAAGAAGTGTTTTACGACAATTGAGAAGTGTTTTGCGACAACTAAGAAGTGTTTTGCGACAACTAAAAAGAGTTTGGCGACAATTAAGGAGGGTTTTGCGACAACTAAGAGGTGGTTTGCCACTACTAAGGAGTGTTTGTGACAACTGATTGTGAAGACTAAGGAGAGTTTGGCGTCAGGTAAGAAGTGTTTTGCGACAATAAAGGAATGTTTTGAGACAACTAATTGTGACAACTATGGAACGTTTGGCGACGAATAAGAGGAGTTTGACGACAGGTACGGAGGGTTTGGCGACAGCTAAGAAAGGTTTAACGACAACTGAGTAGAGTTTGGTGACAATTAAGGAGGGTTTGCTGGCAAATAATGAGAGTCTGACGACAACTAAGATGAGTGGTGCGACAACTTAGCAGTGTCTGGCGACAATTAAGGAGGGTTTCGTGACAAATAAAGGCAGGTTCCAAATCAATCGAAGAAAGACTGTTAATAGAAACATAGCCTACCTGCTTGCAGTCAATAACTTCCTCAATATAAACCGTTGCATCTACAAAATAGGCATGGTATCCACGCACTCTTGCCTCAACATAGCATTTGTATTCATCTGCCATTTTATAGATGTTTTGTGCAGAAAACTGACTTTCCTCAAGAGATATTCAAGATGGAAGCTTTACTTTCCTTCACTCGAAATGTCTTTTAGGTAATTTGCAAGAATACCGCTGTACAGCAAAACAGTTATTGTCTCTAGTACAATAAACGCATGAGGTGTTATAGGATACATCGCTGCATTGACTTTTGTGTTCCTCAATTTTGATAAATTGTGGAATATGAATCGTATTTTATTCGATTGTGGTTTACGAAAATCAGTAGAGTTAAAGGATGGCAGACTGTACGACATTACATCAACATTGGAAAAGACAGTTCAACTGAGCTGTGCCACAGTTAAATGCAAACACTGCGACAGATCGTTCAAAGTTCAATAATATCTGGACAGCGATATACAATTGAAGCACCTGGCCTCTGCCGCACAAAACTCGAACAGCATCAGCTAAGCATCTAGAAATACATTGACTATTTTTGTAAACATCAAACAACCACTCAGGTGAAACAAACATGCAGAGAATAGCTAAGAGTCATCAGCTTGAAGATGTGCCACGTGAATCGGCCGGTGTTGCGCAAGGTCAAACTCAAAGGCGAAGCAACAATTGAAGGGAAAGTAACAAGCGTAAGTCCTACACTGTCGATTTCATAGAGAGAACACTAGATTTTGTGGATTCACTGAAATCATCAACAAATAAGTACAACAGTTGCAAAGCAACAAGGAGTCAACAGATCACTGGTGTTTAAGTGGGAAAAAAACAGAAGCAAACTTCCTGCAGAACTGACTCTTAACAAGACAAAGAAGAACACAGGTGGCCCAAGGCCAATGAAACAAAGGAGAAGGATCGTTGGGAACAGATCCCAACGCACTGATAAATATTCTCTGACTTCCAATCTTTTACTTCCCGAGTTTAAACTACGGAGAGCAGCAGACAGCAAAGTGTCCAAACTTTGGTTGAAAAGAAATGAATCGAAAATCGAAGCATGCTTAAGCACAGAAGAAGCTGCAAAATTTAAAGGACACAGTAACTGGTTCCAGAGATTCAAGAAAAGACACAATATAGTACAAAGGAGAAGGACCAACAAGGAAAAAGTCTGGGCAGATAATGGCTGCGATACGATCCAGAAATTCCACAGGGATTTGAGGAAAGCCTTGAAAACACAAAGGATAAGAAACAAGTCCTATACAGTTAACCCAAAGTATGGAAGATGGATACCTAAAAATAGATACAATATCGACTAGTTTACAGAGGGGATAATGATGTTGTTTGTGTTTGTGAGACCTGGCTCAATAACTCTGTCATGGATTGTGAGCTGCTTTATGGCTACTCTATCTATCGAAGGGGTAGAAAAGGAAGCGTCGGCGGCGGTGTATTGTTCGCCATTGAAACTGATCTACAAGCCTTCCGCCGTTTTGATCTTGAGAAAGAAAACGCTGAACTGATAGTTGTTGAAATTAAAACGCTGAACTGTTTCCCGTTATCTTGTACACTTTTTATCGCCCGCCTGGTTCTTCACCTGAGATTCTTCATCATTTGAACCCTTCAGAGCAATGCTGAGTCAAGTCGCATTGTTTTGGTAGGAGATGTTAATTTACTCTCTATCGACTGGTCCACCGATTTACCGGTCTCTTTGGGTACTGGGAGTCATGCAATGGATGATATATTTTGTGAGCTGGTTGGTGATAATTACCTCCAGCAGTTCGTAACTGGTCCAACGCACATATATATCTGGAAGTAAGTTAGATCTTTTTTTGTGTAATTGTCCAGAAATTATCACAGACGTTCTCACTTCAACACCGGAGAAGTGTGGGTTTCCAGCGGATCATCACATTTCATTCCATCTCGTCTATAGCAGATTGTGAACGACAACAACAAACTCTGGCAAACCTCCATTCCTGGAGTCACGACAATAACATACGATTCAATGCCTCTAAATGCAAAGTTCTAACTATAACGCGCAAGAAAAAGCCTTTACTTCAAGACTTTCTTTTAGGCCCTGAAAAAGTACACCACGTGCGTGAGGAGAAGGATCTGGGTGTAGTTATCTCGGACAAACTTACCTGAGACTCACATGTACACTTGATTACAGTAAAAGAAAACAAAATTGTAGGTCTGCTAAAGAGATCATGTCCCTTGTTAACTAAAGTGGCAGTAAGGTCCTTGTATTCAGCGATTGTGAGGCCTTACCTTTGTTAAGGAACTGAATGCTGACATTTTGCTCTCTCAGTTTGCTTGTAGGATTGGGAACCTTGAAAAGAGGGAGGGGGGGGCTGGTGCATTATGAATTTGCTTGACTTTTGCTGAGTTTTCAGTTGTTTATTGCCAGGACTGCTACCCCTCCCCCCCCCCCCCCCCCCCCCCCCCCCCCCCCCCCCCCCCCCCCCCCCCCCCCCCCCCCCCCCCCCCCCCCCCCCCCCCCCCCCCCCCCCCCCCCCCCCCCCCCCCTCCCCCCCCCCCCCCCCCCCTCCCCCCCCCCCCCTCCCCCCCCCCCCCCCCCCCCCCCCCCCCCCCCCCCCCCCCCCCAATGTAATACTATTGCCTTGATTAATGTGGTTTAGGTTAGTTCCATCCATGAATTGATTAAAATGTTCTGCTTGCACATTGATTTCATCTGTTAGTAGTCTATGCAGTATTTAATACTTAGGAACAATTTTTCAGGTCGGTTTTGCAGAAAACACCCGATTTATAAGAACAAAATCAGCCTAAACCACTAAAACACGTGTTCTTTTAAGCAAAGCCAAAAGTAATCGTTACAATTTCTTACTAGTATCATAACCTTTATTCTTTTGTGTATGTGTTATACGAAGGATTTACAGCTGTTTTTACAAATCTTGGTAAGAGTGGAACAAAGGGTCCGGACTCAGTTGGCAGTCACTACACAGGTCAGGATCATGACGGACAAGTTACAGTGTCCAGCGGTATTCAACTGTGGACTGTGCCGCACACTGGTAAATACAGAATAGAAACAATAGGAGCCTCAGGAGGGTACGGTGAGGACAGTGTCATCAACGGAGGAAGAGGGGCGCGGATGATTGGAAACTTTATGTTGACCAAAGATGAGAACATTAGTATACTTGTTGGTCAAAAAGGGGAAAGATCGAATTCTTACAAAAATGCTGCCTCAGGCGGAGGAGGCACATTTGTAGTAAGAGAAGACAACAAGCCTTTGATCATAGCCGGAGGTGGAGGAGGAGTTGCTAAAATGACAGAACAACATTCAGGATGTGATGCTTCCATAAACACAACAGGAAATGCAGGGTATAACTCGTCATTCCTGTCAGGAGGAAGTAACGGAAATGGAGGAAAAACTGATAAATCGCACCCTGGTAGGTGAAGAATTTCCTATTTATCACTGCTGAATATTTTTTTACATCCATCAGTATTTCGAACAAAGAGGTGTTACTGGTCGCTCAAATTTGGATTTTTCTCAGAATTACTAAAAGCAATGATCTTTTCAGTAGCTAATGTCAACTGTAAATCTCTTGATTGTAGGCGGTGGCGGCGGCGGCTTTTACAGTAATGGAGAAGACACAAAGATTCCTTTTGGAGACGGTGGAAGGGGAGGTAAAGGATTTCTGGCCGGGGGAGAGGGCGGAGCACATCAGGGTGGTTTTGGAGGTGGGGGTGGTTCTCGTTTTACAGGTGAGATACCTGGAGGCGGTGGGGGGTACTCTGGGGGAAGTGGAGGTGCGAATATTTCTTGTGGGGGAGGGGGAGGTTCTTTCAACAACGGAACAAATCAGCAAAATGAATGTTGTTATAATACTGTTGGACATGGTAAAGTGATCATTACATTTCTTCATTGAAATGCATGGCAGCACTTTCCCTAGCGTGTGGTGGTAATTCTGTTTTGAAGCGCTAATTGATATTGGTTTTTAAACTCAATTGCTTTTGATTTTTTTTAGGTCTTTATTTAGATTTTATTATTAAGCCGTGTTACTGTAAACAAACAGCGCAACATGTGGTTCTAGAGCCGTTTATATTTGAGGTTAGAATTAAAATTCACAAACAACATTTGCAAGAATAAGTGAGTTTGTGAATTTTTACCGGCCTAACCTTCTCCCCCGGGGGGGAGGGATGGAGTAGGGGAGGGGGAAGGGACGGGGGGAAGCGATGGGGAGATGATGCATGAATATTTAGGTGATAGAAAACAGTGAACAACAGATTCTCCCACCTCTTTATTCAATCAGATTCCTACGCGTTAAAAGCATACAATATTAAGGTGAGGCAAGATAATAGTTTGTAATCTCCAGGGTGAGGACAATGTTAGCTACAAATTACTTTGGCCTATAGAATAAAGAAGATACAAATGCCAAGACTGTTTAGACTTTAAATAGCGGGCATGGTGGGAAGTTAGTGATAATTGGTCAAATAATAACATATGGGTAATAAAGACTAAGTAATAATTTTGTAGAGAAACAGTTGTGAAGTCAGCTCTTCATATTCTTGTGCATTTAATGTCAATTAATATATATTCACCAATCTTTTTTTCTCGATCAGCTCAAAACTAAAATTGATTTTCAATAATGATACAGTCAGTGTGACCCAGCTTCTTTAATTTTTTTGCCCGTTCACCTTCTAAATGTTGCTGCGCATGACACTGACTGTTGGCGATGGCACATTCAAGTTAACGCAAAACCTTATTTACTTGTTATATTTTGTTTTTCTGCTAACATCTGGAATGTCTTTTCAGGAGGCTCTCGTGCTTTTCGTCACTTAAAGTGGAGTAAAGCGCTGTAATTTTCACGTAGTTGGAAAGAATGATTCTGCTTAATAATAGTTGGAAATATATTGAGAACATTCTTTGCTGGTGGATTGACTAACAGTTCCCAAGAATTGTCTCTATGAATTACAGAAAAGAGCAATCACTTTCCCTATATTGTCGATCTATAATGTAGATTTAGTAACCTCTAGTAAAATTTAATAAATTGATATCTGGCTGTCAGTATTTTCATGTTTGTTAGTGAAACCTAAATTATAAAGTCACATCAACAGACAGCAAGGTAAATTTGTGAAAGAATGAAAAAAGTATCTATGTATCTTACAGGAAAGTTGGTGGATCCCCCAACTTTACTCATAACTTTTATTCGTCCTTGATGTTTTTTTTCGCAGCACACGAAAACCAGCCTTGACTGAAGGTCTTTGCAGGGTAATCGAAAATTGTATGATGCATGGATATTTAGATGATGGAAAACAGTCAACAACAAATTATTTTCTATGACAGCCTTGTATAGCAGGAGATTCCTGACGACGGCTATAAAAAGCGTTGCGAATTGTTTGAGGCCTTCCAACGCAGTTTCTGATTAGACTTCTGATTAATCAATCGGAAGATAGTAACTAAATAATTCACGCACACTTTTCACAAGACATTCGTCACTCATTACATGTGTCTCCTTTACTGAACTTAACTTCAGCGGAATACAACGAAGGTACAATTAAGTACAAAGTCAAATTCGCTGAATTGGTTGTGATTTGCTATATAAAAACTCAACCTTGTAGATACGGCTAATCATTTACTTGCACAAAATGAAAACAATTGAATCGAGACAGTTGCTGCATGGTGAAAATTTCTATGCAGCAGAAATGATGAATACTTTGCTATGGAAATTTCACATGTAGTCAAATATGACGTGAAGTGAGGCCTGGACGGGGCCCTTAATCCAATAAAATCAAAATTCAATTCCTGATAACGCATAACTCTTCAGATAAATAAAGGGTAAGTTTCCAAAGAAACTGGTGTTGTGTCGGTTGGAGATTATAACAGGGTAGTTTGGTATTAACAAGTGAGTTGATAACGTGAATTGGCCACCGTAAAAAGTTTAAAAGTTAACGTCTTGAGCGTTAGCCCTTCGTCAGAGCGAATGGAGGAATTGTGGGTTGTGTGTATTTTTATATGTAAAAAATTGAGTTACGCTATTGGTGGGAATATGGTGACGAGAAAACAAAAATAAATTAGTTGAACGAAAGGCGCTCGTTGATACCGAGGGGATTTAGAGTTTTGCGGCTTTCCGAACTGCCTAGATACTGTCATATGGTGCTCAGAATGATTAGGGAGATTTAATTAAATTACTTTTTCAAATGTATTGAAATGAATGCGATTTATTTCGACGTTTTGAAGCTTAGTTTTAAAAAAACCAGCAATTGCAAAACCTATTTTAATCAGCGCTTGTATTGATCGTTTCCACGCGGTTTTTCTATTCCGGTTACAGGCCCCCTCGGACATAAGCCCCTCCGTTTCTAAGCTCTTCTAAAACACCTTAAGAAGTTGTACAGCCCCAGGGTTTATAACCAGCAGTTCACGGTAGAAGGCAATTAACTTCCTGATTTATTCAGACAGAACGCCATTAGTATCCGTTCAGTATAATCAAGTTTCACCAACCAACAAGGTCCCAGAGGAACTAATTCAGCCGTGACAACTACTAACAACCACATAAATAAACAAAGAAGGGGCCCAATTTGAACGCAGATTAAAATTCAGCTCCCTTAGTTGCCTGATTTTGTCCTTAAAAGTGTAAAAGTCACAGTAGCTATTCGCTGGGATTATAACGGCTGCTTTTTTTTCATTTGTTTTCCCTAATACCAGAAGGACGAGGTGAGATTTACCTACAGTTCTATCCTAGTTATGCCTGAGTAATATTTCAAAGTTTGCCAAGGCGATATAATATTTTTTGATTTTCTTTATTGAGATAACTAAGCCTTGAAATATTCCCACAAGTTTCTCGGCTTCCACTGGAATTGAATGTAATATATCGTTTCATTTAAATACATACCTGGACTGGCACAGGACAACCTACGAATTTTGCAAGAAGTTCATACGTCTTTGAAGTTATTTTGTAACACAGATTTTGGATACAACAAGTTTACAAACGAAAAAATTTTATGAAACGTGGTTTTTTGGAGTAACCAAAAGCGAAAGTTTACTTCAGAAATACAAAAATACAGTCACTTTCTCTACAAAGAAGTCAGTGAACGTGTACGAGTTTTTTGACATGTTCGATTATACGCGACGGATGGGTTTGACTACTGACATATTTTCGTTTTTGTTTAAAGTTGAGAGTCAACTAAAATACCACGACTTGGAGTTAGATGAAAAGTTACAAAGCAGTGAGAGATTTCAATTCTTGTTTTGAAATTGTCTTATACGTCAAAACGAGACAAAATATGCTGTTTTCTCAAAAAAAAGAAAAGAAAAACAAACAAACAAACCGCATTGGCAATTAAATATGTCATCTGTGGCAAAGTCCGGCTGGCTTTTTGTACAATTTGGCTCTTGAGTTGATCTAAAGGTTGGTTCACAAAATCTGCATGGAGGACTTAATTCGTATATTCTAGAAAGTTGGTCAAACTAAGGCATAAGTTATCTATGATCCACCGCTGAAACGATGTTCCAACCAAAAGGTTGATTTTGATCGGAAATTTATTAAAATTTACTCAGTCTTGGTTCATCAAAACGAAGATTGTTGACTTTCGATTCTACAAGCAACATGAGACAGTTTTTTAGTTAAAAAAAACATTGCTTTTAAGCTCTTTCATTCTTTTGGATGACAGATGACTGCATTTAACATTTTAATATTTTGTTGTTCCTGTTACACCCAAGTTGGCAATCTGTAGCGCGCGTAATATCGAATTAATTGTAGGTCTCGCACGACATCCCCGTGACAAAATAAAACGTTTGGTAGAGGAAATAACTACCCTCGTGAGGCTTTGGTACAGTAAATCAAGTCAAAGAAAACACCAAATAGGTGAATGGGTATAAAGGTAGGACCTACAAATGATCTTTCTTCTATTCAGGGAATCTTTTGAGCAATGTTGCATCACGGAATAGAGCGCAAATTTATTTTATCTCATATGGAGCGATTTAGTTCAATCAGAGTGTAAGCTTTGTGATCCAGTTAGGTGTTAAGTGTAGTGGGACGGAATCGAAATGCAGTCAGCTTTATGATCATGTGTGAGGTGACTGAGTGGAAAAATAAAGCAACTTTTGTTTTTATTTAAAGAGCAATCGAGTCTAAACAAAACAGAAGCCTGGTAGTTAAGTTTGAATTATGAAATAATCACAGAGCATAAGCTTTGTGGATCTATTAATTCAGGAAAAAGTAAACATTGAATAAATACGAACAAAAACATAAGATTAATAATAACGTGTAGACTGAGTATCAAAAAAGCATGAGCCTTGTGATCACGCAAAGAGCGATACTAGATAACATGAAGAACGTGCCAATAAAGTTCTTGTCACTTTGTCGGTTCATCAGTCGACAAACTTGAGAACTTTCAAGATTTAACTAGTTACATATGAACGTTAATGAGAGTCCTGACATGTATATAATCGACAGATTATAAACTAGTTAGTCCATAATCTGTTGATTCAACTTAATTGTTCAGTGATGTTTTTACTCTTTACAAGACCACGCCTCGTCATTAGATTTTCTTGAGAAGTCAAACTCCTCTCTATTGATGTATGAAATTTCCTCTTATCATTGCACGTTGTTCTTCGTCATTTCTCGCCTTCGCTTTATGATTATGATGGGTTCACAAAGCTTCATTTTCAAGCAATATCAATCGAAATATAAAGATCTAATCTAAGAAGGCAAATGGAAATCAATCCCTCATAACAAAGGAATATCTTAAAGTGCATCCCCTTCCCTCCCCACCCCCCTTGGGCTCTTGAGCCCTCGTGTGACGATGTCTATTATCTTTGAGAACAAAACAAAAAGGAAGTAAAAAGAATTGTGACAATCAAGAACAGTTTATTTGACCAGATCATTAACAATGTTTTTCTTTCCTTAGAACATAACATAAACGTGGT